TTCCATGAAGTTGGTCGATTGCTTAATGCTCGCATCACTTTGAGTGAGCTCAGCTGTGATCCGTCGAATATGAAGACACGACACGCGGTTCTCTCGTCTGTGATGGCAAACGGATTACCACCGGAAGATATCCCTGGCATCTATACCGCATTGGTTTACTTGGCGATGCTCCTCTATCCAGACTCCTCACCGGCACTAGTTGATGCTTGTCTCAAGGCAACAGCAGATGCGCTGATGCGTCTTGGAATAGCTCAGTAAGTGATTATTGATTTGTGGTCTGGAAATAGCCTAGTATTATCTCAATAGGAGTTGGGCACGACTTAATTTCATTTTTTTGTATGCCCCATACCATAATGGTGATGTGCAGGGGTATTGTTTTTTGTTATATTTCACTGACGTCGGACTGTGTGCCAAACAAATCATGACACCAAAATCTTTATAAAAAAGAAAAACATGTTCCATGATTTGCTTGTGGACTGAATACTGCCAGGTTGCTCAGAGTAAGGCGAGTAAATTTTCTTGAGGAATCCATAACTGGAGCCTTTGGCTAACCAAAGCCTGACCCGAAAGGCTGTGCATGGGTAGCCCAACTAGAGAGAAAAAAATAATTGTAGTGCTTATTAAGTATGCAGCAATCATTGAAAGGTATCAGAGGATTGTGTTTTATGGTGAGATTAGTCTGGAGTTGATTCAGTGATCGTCTATTCTTGAACTTTTTCCTCTGTTCCAATTCATAGGGTATCCCCAGTTTCTCCCCTATCCCGTGAACTACTCCGTTTACTTCATCTTCCACTCGGTGGATCCACACCACATGTGGGCACCAACATGACTCACATTGGTGTTGGAAGCGTACCCAACGCACCTTTGGGCGCTTTGGGTGAACTTCGTATCGTGCTTGGCATGCCCGGATTTCGGCGCCTTGTTTCGCTTCTGGATCAGAAAACTACACAGTGGCGATTGGCTTGCAATCTTCTTGCCGGCGCCCTGGAACGTGAACAACGTCAACACCAGCTACGCAAAGGTTTGACTCGTGAAGCACCGAATGCCACTTTATCTTCTCGTTTGACAACCGAAACCGATTTGGACGGACTTTTCGACTTGATTGACGGTCTGCTTGTCGCAGACGCGTCTTCTGCGGAGGATCCCGAGGAGTTTGTAGAGGCACAAAGCCTGGTTGCCGGTGTCTTGCATTTAATCGGCCCGGAACCACGCACTGAAAATCCGGCTCTGTGTCTTACTCTCCTGAACAAGGCTCATTTGCGGTTAGCTCAAGCGGGGCCAGCCATTATCCGGTTTAATTTTCCATCTCTGGTATTCGAAGTACGTCTTGTTCCATTGTTTTATCTGACATCCTGCATGACCAACACCACCACTCGTTCCGTGTGTGATCGACTCTGTTGTAAATTCCCATTTTGTTTCTCTGGGCCCTTAGTTCGTCAGTTCAACAATGATATACACGCTTCAGTTAGAATAAGGCGTAAATTAGATAGTCCTGTTTGATTTTATGTGAATTTACGCACACATAGGTCCACCTGATACTGTTCCTATGCATGCGTGCGTGCCTCAGTGCTTTGTGTAGTTCGCAAACTTGCAAAATATGCACGAAGTAGGGTTGTACTAATTAATTCAAACAAGCTTTCATAGTAAAAATATCTAGATTTATCTGTGCATTCCGACGGGATGTGCAGTGACATTCTGGGCGACAAAAGGAGAACGTGGTATTATATGAATGCAGTCTCAGGAGTCTCAAGTCCCCTCACGATTCTCATCGATCTTTCGCATGTAGGAAAGTGAATTCGCGAATCGAGTTGTCGAGGGCAAATCGTTAACGGTGTATTGTGCC